ACGGGGAAGGAGAAAAAAAGGGCCCCTGGCAGCCGGGGGGAGAGAACAAGTCCCTGGTGGCTCAGGGAACATGGGAGAGAGAAAAGGCTCATGCTGGATGGGACTCTCCTGCCCCTCCTCACCCCCCTCAACACAATATTCTCCCACACAAATCTCCACCCCCTGCCTCCTGCACTGTCCTCTCTCCCCCCGCCCCAGCCCCCCAGAAGGAGAAAAAAAGGGCCCCTGGCAGCCGGGGGGAGAGAACAAGTCCCTGGTGGCTCAGGGAACATGGGAGAGAGAAAAGGCTCATGCTGGATGGGACTCTCCTGCCCCTCCTCACCCCCCTCAACACAATATTCTCCCACACAAATCTCCACCCCCTGCCTCCTGCACTGTCCTCTCTCCCCCCGCCCCAGCCCCCCAATCCCGAAGGCCCTATCCTGACTCCTACATTCACTACACCACCAGTTCTCTGCCCTGAAGGACCTGGGCAATGTCAGGTAAGTCTTGTAGTTTAAATGTATGCATTGTTTGTAATTATTTTACATAAATCAATTTACCTGTCCATGTGTGTCACCTGCAGACTTTCCAGCCTCAAACTTTAAAGCTAGACCAAAATCAGCAATACAAGCTGTAAGGTTGTTTTTCAACAGTACATTCTTGCTTTTGATGTCCCTTCAAGTTAAGCAGAAAGAGAAAAAATTACCGAAAGATAACATAAAAAATGTGTAAGAATAAAAGTATTAATGGCACAAAAAGCACTTTGCAGATGCATCGTAATTTGAAAACATAATGTTTAAGTTTCTGAGTATGTTTAAATAACATTAAAGGGATGACAACAAAAGTTAAGAGACAGAATGTTAAATGTAACTGTCCATCCTTAAAATGATCCTGTGTAAATATTTTTAAAATGGTGCTAAATTAAAGAAGTCACTACAGTAGAGCATATCCTTTAACTATGAATTTTTTGTCTTCGTAGTTTAAGAAAATCTTATTTGTAAAATAAATAAATCTGATGTGAAAGTATCAGCATACACAGAATAAAAATGGCTAGAACCCTACTAATTTCAGAGGAAACTACAAAACCAAAAAGGAACACACACATGAAGCTGCTACCATCTGTTTAGCAAAGCCACAGCTTCTAGCACCTCTGTCTATGGTTTCTTTCACTTTGAAGCACAGCGACATTTTAAAAACCCAGTCTTCCAGCCACATGAACCAATAAAAAGGAGAACCTCTTGAGCAGAAATAAGGGCATCCCAATAAGCAAAAGCAAATACTTGTTCTACAAAATGGCCTTCTATCTTCCACTCAGATTGCAGAAGGTTCTTCCCAGAAATCATGACCTTCTCATTTTATTGAGAAGCAGGCCTTGAGAATTACAAAAAGAAGAAAAATGAGATAATTGGCACAGGTCTCAGAGGTTTTTTTAGAAGGCCACCATGTAACAGGCAACTAATGCCAAGATAAATCTACCTGCAACGTGTGGTAGAGAGAAAAGCTTTTCTTTTAAATTACAACCGCCACATCATCAATACTTACATTTTAAGGATGTTAAGGACTAGTCGACTATCTGATAATCAAATGCTTATCGGAGAGTCGAGTCAACTAGTTGATCCCATCCTATCCCCCTCCCCCCCTCACCTGTATCAGATAGAATCAGCGAAGGGGGAGAGAGATGTGGTACTTGAAAGCAGCAGCGCCACACAGAGCGCATACTGAGCTTCATGTGGTGCTGCCACTTTGAAATGCTGAGGCAGTGTTTCAAAGGGGGCAGTGCCACACAGCTGATCCACAGCAGTGCCGCATGGAGCCTGGGATCAGCTGGGTTCCCAAGTTCCAGCACGGTATTTCAAATCATGCAGAGCTGACCCCAGGTTCTGGAGAAATGCCGCACAGAGCCCGGGTTCAGCTAGGGACTCCCCAGCTGACCCTGGGCTCCGCGGGACATTTCAAAGCAGCAGCACAGCATGGAACCTGGGGTCAGTGGGGTCCTCCGCTGACCCAAGGCTCCAAGCTGGCATTTCTGCTTTGAAATGCACAAGAGCCCCCATTGGGGACTCTTGTACATTTCAAAGCTGACACACCCACTTGCAGCCCAGGGTCAGCCCATTGGCCCCAAGCTGCACACTGAGTTCTGCATTCTTCCTTTGAAATGTACAAGAGGGCTCTTGTTGGGGCTCTTGTACTTTCAAAGGAGGAATGCAGAAGTGCCTACTGACTAGTTTGATGGAATTTCCATCAACTACTTGACTAGTAAATTACTCGATATTTAACATCCTTATTACATTTCAAAGAAAAGGAACTAGAAGGCATCCCTGATGTGCTCCAATATGAATAGGAAAAATGTTTTACTACATTCTTTCTTTAGTTCCTCCCCCAGTCATATTGCTCTGGTGTAGAACCTCCTAAATACACAACAGTCTTATATTGGTATCTGCTCCTCTTCATTTAACCCTAAGTTTGTCTCAATTAGTAGACTCAAATACTACTATTAGACAATGGACAAAAGTCAGATATCAAAAATATTAATACACAAAAACCAGTAGGAGAACATTTTAACTTACCTGGGCACTCAATGGATTTAAAAAGTAGCTATTCTTCTACAAAGAAAGTACAAAATCCAACTAGAAAGACACTGAGGAATTGGCCTTCATATGCAAATCTTATACTATCTCTAGTGGCTTGAAAAAAGGCATGAACTGGATGGGGCATTATAAAACCTGCTTTCCTTACAATCAACACCCAACTGATACCGAAAGGTAAGTTTGGAACACTTTCAGCTCAGTCAATTAGCCTCATTAGCACTGGCACTAAAATTGGCAGGTAATTGCCCCCCCCCCCTTATTTTTCTGTTATAAATTGAAAGGGTCCTTCCTTTCCTCTCCACTTTGCTCATCTGAGGAAGTAGGTTTTGCCCATGAAAGCTCATGATTATTTTTATATATAAAGTCTCTAATGCGCTAAAGGACTACTTGTTACAGACTAACATGGCTACCCCTCTGGGACTTCTGATCTTAATGATTTTTAAGAATTCTGTGTTACTAGTTAATACATGGTAAATTGTTAAAACTGGAAGAACTATGGATCTTGTTTAATTTGTTTGGCCTTTCAATTGGAGTTGGATTCCGGACAATGCTCTGAGGCTTCTTTTCTTTCTGTTAGTGACACACACAAGGTGAAAGTTTCAAACCAGAACTTTTATCTGTTTTTACAGATCTGTTTCACTTGCCTAGCATGGATCCTAAAGATTCCCCAGAGAAAGTGTATAAGCCCGCGTGAATGCCTTCTACTCTCCTTTCCAGTGTCAGTAAATACTGTATTAATATTTTCAAAGAGAGCATGACTATTCCTAGTTGACTCAGATTTGTTTAGAATCTTTAAGCTGTGCATATTTTTTATGCTTTTACTTAATGGCCATGTCTTTGATTTATTTATATAGCTATTTGCAGTAGGTCCCATTTTAGTGTGTTCACTAGCTTGAGTTGTTAGAAAGATGATAATGCATGTACGCTAAGGGTCGTGTTTATTTAATATGAAAATCAAATAAAATTAACACCTTAAGCAGTGCTCCTTATTAATTACCCCTTGGTTTAATGTATTGTCATCCATACCCATGGACTGCTTAAACTACATAAATTTAGGTTTTTGTTTGTACTGGGACACACTGCATATCCACATACAACCTCAATACTGGTGATTCACATAAAAAATGTCAACCAGCCCAAAAAAAAATTCAACCCCCCCCCCCCCAAAAAAAAGGTTCCCCACCACAAGACATTACTTATTTAAGTATGTCCAGAACAAGTGTACTGGGAGCATAACATCATACAAAAGGTGCATGAAACCACTTTCACTTCATATATAAATTTGTCTTCACCTCCCATCTCATACCAGTCACATGTTCATACTATGTGTTGAAATTTCTAGACCAATCTCCCTTCTCTGCATGCTACTCACACAAAGGTCATGTCTACGCTAATCAGAATATCACCACTGCTGCAATTAATCTTCTGGAGTTCAATTTAGTGAGTCTAGTTAAGAACCACTAAACTGAACTCAGCGGGTGGCCCCACCAGCGGCCAGCATTCCCATTTGCATGAAGAGTAAGAGGAAATCCAGAGCTAGGATACAGTAACTGCAAACATTAGCTCCAGTGACTGCAAACATTAGAAAAAAAATTAAATTCACAGGTTAATCATTTCACAAATATTGGGCCCTAATCCTGCAAAGCCATACACACATGCTTAGCTTTATGCACTTTGAGTAGTCCCATTGAGATGTAAGTAAAACTAAGTAGTTGTATAAACTTTGGCCCTTTTACCATTTCTGTTACTATAGTGCCTACGAGGCCTAGTCATGGGACAAAATACCAACTGGTATTGTCACGTTTCACAAAAAGCCCCATTTCCAAATTCTTGATTAAATAAATAGGATAGTATGGGCAGTCATTCCAATTGCTAAATAGGCACTTGATCTTTATGAGAGCTCACTATTTTCTATAACAATTTTTTTTTTTTGCGAACCAAAGTTCTGTAAATCAATCAATCTACAGGTCAGACTTGGAGCTAGCACGTACACAATGGAGATTTTAAACAATTGGTGATGAATATTTTCAGCAGTCCACCTGCAAACTGTACAAGGATAATGGCTGTTCAAAATTTAAGTCATGAACTCAAGTTAGGGAAAAAAAAGCTTCTGATCTCAAAATACATCTCAAAGCAGACAAAGAAATAAAGAAAAATGCAAAGGTAGTTAATATAACTAAAGGAGGAATATTAAGGTTTTAAAATTCTGCACTTTCAAATTTTTAGGTTTAAGAACCTATCTTAATTCTATTCTAACCTCAAGCACAGGGATCTGAGTTACTTCTATGTACGCTTAACTTCACTTTAACTAAAGTTTTTATTTGGGTATAATTATAAAAATTGAACCTACAGACAATACTAACACTTATATTTGCTTCTAGAATTGCTGGAAGGTGGATTAATTAGGAATGGAAAGCAGAGTCAGCATGCCTCTGACAGTTACATGGAATTTCCTAACTGTTTTTCAACGTAACTAAGAACTTAAGTATGTACCTAACGTTTGTTCGGGTGAACAGACCCAGTGAAATTTGACTTCAAACAAGTTCAGGGCTACTCCCATAAAGAACTCAGATGGTGGTTTTAGGCTTTGATCCTCACATAAGTCCATGACAAAACTCACATCAGACTTCAGTGTTATTAGAAAAAGGCTTAAATGCTTTTTGAATTCCACATATATGCATAACCTCAAATATAGGGATGTGAGAAGGCACTATAGATGTGAACAGGTAACTGGTTAGCCAGCAGCCTCCCATTCTCCCAGAGGGCTGGCAGCCGCTCTTCTGGCCAAGCCCCCCACCCATGGGATTCTGCTTAATCGGCTAACTGGTTAAATGTTACATTTCTTGATTGAACATGATTTTACATCGCTAATAGACACTATAATAAAACAAAGTAGTACTGAAATATTTGCATTCTGTATCCTCAGCCTGTATATACAGTGTAGTCATCTGGACATGACTATATGAAATATCTGGAGATCTGCTTTATATGCAGTTTACTGGGTCTCACATTCAGAGTAGTTGTAGTAGTAGTTCACTTTACATTTTATAACCATCATTTTATAATCAGACACATTCATCTATAGTTTAAACAACTGCATTTCAAAATAGTAAAAATAAAGTTATCTAGAACAGATTTTTCTTGAAAGTACAAAGTTGCAATGCTATTTCACTTATTTATCTGATTTTAAATGTTTTAGAGATTATAAAATATTCACAGCTATATTGTCATTATATCTTTACACAAAGATTAAACTATAGTTTAATACAGGAGATAATACACAATATCTGAAATATAGTATACCTATGGGATATAGCAGGTTTATGTCCATCTTTCAGACCTGGTATATCCTCATGAAGGTAAGCCAAACCTCTAGCCATAGTTTCAGCAATATGACACAGCTCATTCCATGAAACCACATTTGCCTTGAGAAAGTCAGTTAATGAACCCTATACAGCAGAGGGAAAAAAATTAAGTATTATTTTCCCTTAACAGATATTTTAAATGGTCAAGTGTAAAAAAATGTATCATATACACAATTACATATACAATAGAACTTCCAAGTTCCAAACTGGCCAGTCAACCACATGCTTCACTTGGAACGAGTAGTACGTAATCAGGCAGCAGCAGAGACAAAAAAATAGGTACAGTACCGTGTTAAACAGAAACTACTAAAAATAAAAGGAAACTGTTTTTATGCTTATTTCATTTAAATTAAGATAGAAAAATGCTGCATTTAACCTTTTCACTGTAAATTTTCAAAGTTGTATTAAATCAACGTTCAGTTGTAAACTTTTGAAATAACCGTGGTGTTTTGTTCAGTTACAAACAACCTCATTCCCTGTGGCTACGTCTACACTGGCCCCTTTTCCGAAAGGGGCATGCTAATTTTAAACTTCGTAATAGGGAAAGCCGCGGGGGATTTAAATATCCCCCGCGGGATTTAAATAAAGATGTCCGCCGCTTTTTTCCGGCTTGTAGAAAAGCCGAAAAAGAGTGTCTAACACAAGTTGTGACATGTATTTTGCTGTTTAAGCGTGTGCGTGAGACACTGCTTTAAGATCAGTGTCCCGAGCCCCTCCGCGGCTTTGCTCCGCGGCTTCCTGGTCTGCAGACCAGGGAGACGCAGAGCAGCTTTTCTCGCCCCGGAGTACACGGGCGGCGGGACCACAAGGTCCCGCAGTCCGTGTCCTCTGGGGCGAGAAAAGCCACGTTCGTAACTGCGGATATGACATAAGTCGGATCCACGTAAGTCGGGGACTGCCTGTACACATTTAGAAAAATGTTATCACTTCCAATTCAACTGGTCATCTCTCAACACAGAATGTATCTATACTTACATGATATATCTATAGTTCACACAATAACTAAACAATTTAATAAAATTAAAGAGACGTCTGATTTGCCACCAACCCTCATTTATTTCAGGATTAAATAAATGGGGAGTCAAATGTGAATATTTTAAACAAAAAAGACTAGACACAAAGGAAGACAGTTTATGGTAGATATTAAGAAACCATTCCGCAAAAGAACAAAGAGAAAATTAGATATCTAGTCAAACACACTGTTGGAGATAAATGCTGCGATTTCTTTTCTTTCAAAACAGGATTGATCAGTTTTTCTGGGCTAAAAGTCAAGAGTTTTGTGGCTCCACCTCAGCCATGTTTAACTATGTATGTACTTTTATGTAGACATTGCTCTGGTATTCAGAGCCTTTATTTTGGAGTTAAGGGAAGTATGAGAGAAATTATTTCTTTATCTTTTCTTGTATTACGGACTACCACTCTAGTCAACTATAAACAATTAAAATATTTCCAGATACTACTCTTACTGCTGAATCCCCTATGACAACTTCTTGGGGTTTAAATATCATTTTTTTAAATTCAGGTAAGAGTCAGTCTCTCTCACTTATTGCTGTGGGTAAAAACTCACACAAAAAAAGGGAAATGCATCAGTATATTAGGTGCTGTCAGCCTTTCAGCCTTACATCTTCTCAGTTTTTTTCTTGCAAGCAACTCCAACATAGAGGCAGGAGGACAGGTAATTGAATGGATATGAGCAATACATCTCAAAGAGCAACAGTTATGAAAGGTAGGTAACCATTTTTTCTTCAAGTGCTTGTTCATGTTGATTCCATTCTAAGTGACTCACAAGCAGTACCCATGAAGATGGGCATGGATTTCATAGTCGTTTGGCTTGCAGCACTGCTCTGACAGTCAGTCAATTCGCAGTGGCGATGCCTCAGTGAGAGGCTAAATTCCCTCTCTGTGCAGGAGGTATCTACTTCTGGTGACAACAGCTGCCAAACACACATGTTGAGAACACTACTAACACCTGCCTCTGGATATCGGCAATTTGAATAGGGGGTCCAGCGCTGGGGGCCCTTACCATAACAGAGAATGTATAGGGATAGAGGGTGAATGGAGCTGGTGGTTCAGTAACTAGCACCTCAACCTAAGTGAAGGGTGGGCCTGCAGGTCAGATCCGGCCTGCCACAATCCAGCTGGAACCTCGGGCATTCTCCCTGTCTGAGCAGTGTGGGGAGCTGAGGTAAAGCGCTTGGCTGCTGGGGCCAAGATGTGTGTCTTTAACACAGCATCCCCCTTGGATGGGGGCAATGGAAAACAGGCCAATGGGAACTGCAAGGGCAATGTCTGCTGACACATGTAGCACAGGGAGACCTGCTGCTTCCCTCCCTCCAATGCACTGCACAGACACACACTCTCGCCCCAGCAGCCAGCCACTTTGAGTGGCATGCAGGGCTGCAGGAGCCAGGGAGTCTGCTTGAGGGTCCCAACAGATTGCCAGGCAGGGGGCCACCTACAGAAAGTGCCTCCTGGCAGAGTCTGCAACTGGTCTCCCATCCCATCCCCAGGTCAAAACCTCCTCCTGCACCCAAACCATCTGCACCTCCTCCTGCACTCCTCTCCCAGGTGGGAATTCCCTCCTGCATCCAATCTCTCTGCCAGACCCCACATCCCCCCCTGCACCACAAACTCTTACCCCAAGCTCCCTTCTGCACCCCACCTCTGTCCCAGACTATGGATGCTAAATTTAGATTAATCGAATAGTCAATGGAAATCCCATCGACTATTGGATTAATTAGTCGATAAGGCACCTCTGTCTTTGAACTGCAGGTCTCTTGCTACAATTCAAAATCTGAAGACCCGCTGGGACTCTTGTACATAAAAAAAAAAAAAGCAGATTCGCAGCAGAACCAGTGTGAGCAGAGACTGCTTCATTCCCTGCTTGAGCCTTTTCCCGCTCTGCCTTTACCTCCCCTGCCCCCCGCAGAGACAGTGCTGGGGGTAACCGACTTTTAAGCCAGCTCCCCACAGCACCGGCTCCTGCTTCCCTGATAGAAGCAGCAAGGGGGAGGGGAAGCAACAAGTCGCATCACTAATCAACTAGTCACTTCCATCCCTATCACAGACCCCGCACCATTTCTGTTCAGATGACAGAAGAGTGCAGCCCATGACCACTCTCCAAATTCTTCAAGTGGGCCCTACATCAAAAATTATTGCCCACACCTGTCCTACGTGATCCACTTTGAGTTCCACATAATATGCATAAATAAATTTAATAGGTAGGTATCAAAAATGTGAGGTAGCTGCCTTGTTTTAAACTCTGCAGTAACCAAAGCAAAATCTAGTATCAAAAGCTACATTTAAACTAATGGTTGTCTGCTCTAGGACTGAAGTGTGCTATCTGTCAATCTATAAATACTGACTATGACACAAGATAAACCAATTTTCACATTTACATTATGTAGAATCTTTATACAGTGAGTAATTATTTTTACAAAACTGATACCAGGAAATAACCTTCCTAACGTCACATAGGTCAAAGCAAAACACTTTCTTTTCCTTTGGCTCAGGGGCTGGGCAAAATATGGCTGGCGGGCTGGATAAGGATCGTGACCCAGTGGGGAGTCTCAGGCAGGGAGCCTGCCTGCCTTCACCCCTGTACACGTCTCAGAAAAGCATCTGTGCAGTCATTTGTTTGAATGGCTGCAAGCCTGAGAGGTGGTAGGAGAGGCTTCACGTGCTGCCTCTACCTCCAGCACAACCCCAACTGGTTGGCAATCGTAGAATATAACACTGATAAAACTATATTTGTGTGTTGTTTGGGGAAAAACAAACAAAAACAAACAAACAGTATCTTCCTCTGGCAAGGATCAATAATAATGTCCTTTTCCAGGTCCTCTACTAGGACAAAAACTGTTTTGTTTTTGTTTGTTTTGGATGGTAGAGGGGAGGAAGGTGGCAAGAGGAGAACAACAATCTCTGAAGCTACAAAAACAGAGGAAACTTTGGTGGGTACATGAAATTACTTTCCATTTTTTAAAAAAAATTAGATGGAATTCCAAATGACAGCCTCTCTTTCTTTAAGCTTGTCAATAGACTATAGGATTTTAATAAAATTATAATGCAACTAAATAGATAAAAATAACAAATGTTATTCACTGTCAAATCTGACCATACCTTTTCATGAAATGCTGTAATTAACCATAAATCTACATCAATGCTGGTGCCTCGTTTCTCTGCACCAATGAACTGTAAGATATTTTCATGCTTCATTCCAGGCAAGCTGTAAATTTCATACTCATTTTGCCATGACTGTTTGTCCTTAAACACAGACAAATGTTAAGTTAGTACACTTACTATTTCTGATAAAAATTCTCATCTATTGGTCACAAGTTTGCTGCTGTAATTCATTGTGCATAGTTAACTGACCTTCTAAAATAAGAAGAGATTAAAATCTGTTTTGACCTGTTACAGATTTGAGTCAAATGGAAAGGCAGACACACTCCAAAACATTGATATTGACAGATTGGATTACATGTTATAAGCGTTTGCTTACCTGAATTTTAGATAATTTAAAGCTTGCACTATACAATTCCAGCAAAACAAGAAAATGTGTATAAAATTACAGGAAAAATCTCTATGTACCTATTTAAAGTTCCAAGGAAACTATGTATCTGGTAGTCTCCGATGGAAATCTGTCTATTGCAACAATATTGTACAGTGTGGCGCCAACCTAAATCTCCATAGATACCTAGCACTGGAATAGCAGAGAAAGTAGAGGTCAGGTCTGAGGCACTGTCAGCTTAGTGAAGTGTTTGCATATTGCCCACAAAATACAACACTTGGTTCTTGTCAATGCTAACAATATTAACCACACAAACATTGAAAAACATCTAAAAAATTATGTTCAAAAGAATAGGAACAAGTTTTTGGTTCATTTTTTTTTCATTGAGTTAAAGCTCCAGGTGTACAAAATTTTATTTTCAAGTGAGAAATTGCTACTAGAGAAAGATGATCCCTATAAGTGTGTTTTTATCAGCAATTAAATATGGATCTTCCCATTATAAAATAGAAGTACAGCTCACCCCTTATTAACCAGGGAACTGGTTATATGTACTGTAACACTCAGATTAATGTAATTAAATGTGCTTTTAGATCCTTACAGTGAATCTGTATTTAACTGGACTCCAAAGCTGCAAGGCTAAATACAGCTGATGGTTAAACATTTCCTGTACAGGTTGAACCTTTCTAGTCCAGCACTCTCTAGTCTGGCAACAACTGTGGACCAGCAAGATTTTAGTTAGTAAAAGGTCCACTGATCATGGACATGGCCAAGTTTCCCACAGTCCCATGAAGTTTGTTTACAGCCACCAATCCTGACTCTCATTGTTCTGAGCTGTTATTTAGCTAATTCACCCCAAAATGTCTTCTACTAGCCCAGTAAGCAGTGGAAGTGTTGGTAATTCTGCTAGACAATATGACCTCCCAGGATTTGGCAAATTCTCTGGTTCAATACCAGGCAGGCTGCAAGGGTGCTGGAGTAGAGAGGTTCAACCTGTACTGCAGTATACTTCACTTAATGGAGACATACCTACCTCAAACAGCCACTTTACTGGGATCTCTTTCTGGATGTATTTTAACAATTGCCATTCATTGTGACTGCCACTTAATTCAGACAAGATTAGCAAAAATTATTCGTAAGAGACAAACATTTTTTCCGTACCCAACAGTATTACTAAAACCAGTGGGAGAATGAACAGCAAGTATAATGGGACTAGTAGAGTGCTTAAAATTATTCATGCTGAAGAGTTTGCAGGAATGGAATATCTGTCTTTTGAGTTAAAAATTAAGAAACTCAAATTTCCTCAATGTTGATTTAGAGCAGAGCTACTCAACACGTGGCCCACGCTCTGTTTGTTTGCGGCCCACGGTGTAGCTTGGGTTTACACAGGGCTCAGAACGCGCCCTGCGGGTGAGAGCCAAAACAAAAAACTAATCAATATAATGATCTTCTGTTGATATGCATTTTAGTAGTTAAATTCCTGGACCGTCATTGCTCATTAAAAGTGCTGTCATGTGTGGGGAAATCGGGTAAATATTGTATTTTATTAATATCAGCAGAACTGGCTTAAATGGGGCATGCACGTTGTGTAATCTTTCCTTAATCTTTGTTTTCATGCCCATCAGTGAAAAAGAAGCTATTTGCATCTATTTGAATATATATGCAACCACACTTAAGTTATGGCTCTCAGCATGTGCTGGTGAGTATCATTGTGACCCCCGGGGCTTCCAAAGTTGAGAAGTCCTGATTTAGAGCATGTATTTTGCATTTAACAACTTATTTTTACTTCAACTAAAAGATATGTGGTCATCTGGCCCTGTTATTTTATATTACCATAGGACGATAAGAACTTTTACATACCTGGATTGGGAATATTTTGACAGCAACATACTCATTTAGTAACTGTGCTTTCCATACACAACCAAATCTTCCTCTAGCTTTGATCTCTAACAACTGCAGAGGCTTCAGACCCATCAAGGGTGAAGGTGGTGGCAAGCTAGGGTCCTGAAAACAGATAAAAGTATCACTGAATTTTAGCTATTCTTTGTGAGATGTAGGACTACAAAATTAGGAATATAAAGAATTATACTGAAAACCATGTGTTTTTTGGAAGGATTTGAGAACAATCTTTGACGCTTCTTTACAGGAAGGGAACTGAAGTCTGTCAGATATTCTGAGAATTAATACACAAATAAAAACCTAACAATTTCTAATACTTATTCTTCTGAGATATCAAGGCAGAGCAAAAACAGAAGAGAATGAAAAATCAAGTTTTAATTCTGATAGACTGTCAAGCAGGGATGTAAAATTTTTAAAAATCACTAATGGCGTAATCAACTGAAATTCAATTGGTTACACAGTTTAATGCTTTGCAAGCCGCTGGCCCAGCAGGCTCCCAGACCCATGGGCTCTCCATGGTGGCTAGGAATTTAACTGAAAGTTATCCAGTAAGTCAATGCTTATTGGTTAATTGGTTAAACTGTTATGTCCCCAATGTCAATTATTTTTACAATAGCAGTGAACAAGTTCAGCAGAGAACATGTGTGTTTATGTAAACATGCTAGGGATGTCAGAGGCAGCAGCACGGGGGGAGGAGAGGTGGTTCTGTGGGACATGGTGCACATGGGGAGCAGGCTTCAAAGCTGACTCCTCATGCATGCCAGCTCCCATATGCCTCCCCATGCTGCTGCTTCTCAGAGGTAGCAGCATGGGTAGGAGGACCTGCATGTAACCATGCATGTTAACTCATTGGTTAACTACAAAAACAGTTATACTTTCACATCCTTAGTGTGCGTGTACAATGCAAAATGACAAAACGTATTTATATCACCAATTATAGGATGACTGAAGAATACTGACTGAATATTTTTCTTGCCTGCTTACCCTATATAGTCTACATACCCATAAAGCAGACCAAGGTTTGATAACCATACCATTTCTCTCTCTCTCTCAAAGGTAGCAAAAAGTTGCAGAAAGTTTTATGTTTAGAAAAGAGGCAATGTCTCACGTCACACACAAGTTTATTTTTTTCCCAAATGAACAAACAGTACTAGTGAGCTCCAAAGGGACTCCAAACCAGTCCTTTCAAAATACAACTGAAGCGGAGAGGCAGAACTCTAAGAAGAGAATGAGACAGTGTCTATGGAATCAGCAAATTACTCTGAACAACTGCAATTTCTGGGAAACGTTATTACAGTTACTGTAAATTGTTCAAGTCCTTACATATTTTATTATATATGTATTCAATTTACATGTACCTTCTTCAACTGAAATACAGGTTGAACCTCTCTGGTCCAGGACACATTGATCCTATAACACCTAACTGGCTATTGTCTGGGAGCCCAGCAAGTGGCAGCTATCCACTGGGGCCAGGAGTGTAGCTCAGCCAGCCTTGCAGCCCTGGGACGGGAGCACAGACATAGGTGGCCACGAGCAGGGCATTAGCTAGAAGGAGAGCCAGCATTCCTAGGAGAGCCCTGACCTCTCATGGTCCAGCAAAGTCCTTTGTCCGGGACCCATCAGATCCCAAGGGTGCTGGACCAGGGATACAGCCCCCGAGGCTCACGGCCCTCCTTGCTGTTTCAGTGAGCATTTGGAGGTTTGGGGTTTGTTTTGTTTTGGGGTTTTTTGGGCTTCTCACTTGTGTATAGCCCCCAACTGATTTTTCTGTGGGTCAGTGGTAATGGCAAGCGCTTTGGGATATTTGTTTTTATTTTTCTTCCCAATATACTGTGTTTATGTAAATCATAATCCTTTTCTGAAAATAATCTAATTCTTCAGGCCAAGGACAGTTTTCTGTAGTCAAATTTGGGGGCTATTCTTAACTGTACACATATACCATTCACTGTAAAGTTTCATAGAATACTAGGACTGGAAGGGACCTCGAGAGGTCATAGAGTCCAGTCCCCTGCCAGGACCAAATACTGTCTAGACCATCCCTGACAGACATTTATTTAACCTACTCTTAAATATCTCCACAGATGGTGAATCCACAACCTCCCTGGGCAATTTATTCCAGTGTTTAACTACCCTGACAGTTAGGAACTTTTTCCTAATGTCCAACCTAAACCTCCCTTGCTGCAGTTTAAGCCCATTGCTTCTTGTTCTATCCTCAGAGGCCAATATGAACAAGTTTTCTCCTCCTCCTCATGACACCCTTTTAGATACCTGAAAACGGCTATCATGTCCCCCCTCAGTCTTCTCTTTTCTAAACTAAACAAACCCAATTCTTTCAGCCTTCCTTCATAGATCATGTTCTCTAGACCTTGAATCATTCTTGTTGCTCTTCTCTGGACCCTCTCCAATTTCTCCACATCTTTCTTGAAATGCGGTGCCCAGAACTGGACACAATACTCCAACTGAGGCCTAACCAGAGCAGAGTAGAGAGGAAGAATGACTTCTCATGTCTTGCTCACAACACACCTGTTAATGCATCCCAGAATCATGTTTGCTTTTTTTGCAACAGCATCACACTGCTGACTATAACCCCTAGATTCCTTTCTGCCGTACTTCTTCCTAGACAGTCGCTTCTCATTCTGTATGTGTGAAACTGGAACTGATTGTTCCTTCCTAAGTGGAGCACTTTACATTTGTCTTTATTAAACTTCATCCTGTTTACCTCAGACCATTTCTCCAATTTGTCCAAATCATTTTGAATTATGACCCTATCCTCCAGAGCAGTCACAACCCGTCCCAGCTTGGTATCATCTGCAAACTTAATAAGCATACTTTCTTTGCCAATATCTAAATCGTTGATGAAGATATTGAACAGAGCCAGTCCCAAAACAGACCCCTGCAGAACCGCACTAGTTATACCTTTCCAGCAGGATTGTGAACCATTAATAACTACTCTCTGAGTACGGCTATCCAGCCAGTTATGCACCTGTGTCTGACAGTATTGATTATTAATTTTAGTTTCCCCCTCCCCCTGCCCAACTGATCATATAGATAAGTTTCAATACTCTAAATACTGATGGAGAGAAGGAGTTTGTATCTGTTTTTAAGGAACACATTTGATTCCTAATGCATATTACTGCACTCCTGGGTAAGAAATATGTTCATTTACATGTTTGGACATTACAATGAAGGATGATTAAAAAATACCCTTAGATAGATGTTACAACTACAACTGTAGTTTCAGATTCGGAAAATATGGATCTTTAAATCTGATCACTCTGAGAATAAATACAAATGTTTTTGCCTCCATTTTAAATACTTTTGAGCAGAATTTAAAAATAATCAAATCTACTCTTCACAGAAGAAAACTACATAAGAACAGAGTTCAGTTAGCCACTTTAATACATCACTAGGTCCTAGTTTAAACAAAACGTATTTTTCAATTCATTTCATACAAGTATTGTACAATATATTTATTGTGAAAGTATGACTTACCAACTTGAGCATTTTTTTTTTACATGACTGCGCTAAAAAAACAAAACTATGTAAAAGTCTACAAGTCTACTCAGTCCTAATTCTTGTTCGGCCAATCACTATGACAAACAAATTTGTTTACATTTAAAGGAGATAATACTGCTTTACACTTGTTTAAATGAAACAATACTATTTCTTTTATCTATCTTGCACAGTACAGATACTAGTAATGAAAGTAATAGAAAATGAGCACTGTACACTTTGCTCTGTGTCTGGGGTGAGCAAAATATGGCCCACCAAGTCACCAGATCCAGCCCATGGGAGCCTCTCCCAGGCTCTCTCACTGCCCTGCCTTGCACTGCTCAGAGCAGCAATCCGAACTCTGCAAGCCAAGTAGGATGGGGAGGAGAGACTTTGCATGCTGACACCACCCTCAGCAAAACTTGTAGCTCCTATTGGCCAGTTTCCAGCCAATGGGAGCCGCCTGTTTGAAGGACAGGTAATGTGCAAAACACCCCTTCCCCTTCTGGGCTCACAGTGTTCAGAGCCACATATGGGCCCTACAGCTGGTGCAGGGTCCATATAAGGCAGAGACCCTGACTGAGGAATCAGCTGGGAGATGCCCAGATAAGTGCCTCCCAGCTAGAGCCTGCCTCTAGCACCCCAGCCCCTCCTTCACCTCTACCCTATGTAAACCAGACCTTCTGCACACCTGCTCCTACACCTATACCCCCTCCCAGATTCTGCACCCTCACCTTCACTGCTCTTCCAGGTCACAACCCCCTCCCAGACTCTGCAACTCCTCCCCCCCGCATCCCAATTCCCTACCCCAAGCTTCTTTCTGCACCCAATCTCTATTCCAGATCTCACATTAGTATCATGGAAGAGTGCAGTCCTTGATCACTTTCCAAACTCTTGGAATGGCCCTTCATCAAAAACTATTGACTGCCTCATTCTGTGTTATTGGAATCAGTACATTTTAAAATACTGAAAAATCCACAAATATTAATAATAAATTTACATTTGTATTATTGTTTAACAGTGCAATTAAAACTGCAATTAATTGTGAGTATTTTATTAATCTCATGGTCAATCATGATCTTTTTTTTAAATCATCTGACAGCCCAAACAAACCTAAATCCCTTTTTCAAAAGCACTTAAAGCATGTAAATATTACTCATGTAAGAATCTGAACCTTTAAACAAACATGGGAATGAGAGATGCTTAAAACAAAAGTAACTTAAAAACATTTTCTAGGTAACATACACAATGAAACAACGTTCCATTGATACATATGCTGACACAAATTAATGTGATTTCACTCCTATAATGGCTTCCATACAACTTCAAAACACTTTTTACAAAAATTCTTTAAAGAAATCATCTCAGTTTTGCTGTTGTAAAAATTAGGGATGTAAATGATTACCAGGTTAACCAGGACTAACGGGGCCAGTGGCAGGAATCTGGACAGGTCAGTGAGCGGGGCCGCAGCGGAACCAGGCAGCAGCCTTGGCAGCTCCAGCTTTGTGCCCTGAGCAGGGGAGACCCAGGGGAGACCCCTGCCTGGCCATGCAGCAGCTGCAGTCCCAACCCCACTGCACCCTGGGTGGGGGCAAGCAGGATCCTTGCTCAGC